ACAAACTCAAATAATTATTTACGCTTGTTCCAACTGTTTCTTCTAATAGAAAAACAAATAACAGCCAAGTTACGGTTTGCAGCAGACGAATCTACCAAGACCTTTATTCGCATTCCCTGAATGATCATCACCTTTTCCGGAAATCTCAACGGCATGCTTGATTCTCCCCTGCTTTTTCTTCTTGCTCTGGTCTTTAGGCACCGTGACCACCAAAACTCCATCGCTCATTGAAGCTTTTACCTCGTCCACCAGAGCATTTTCCGGAAGCCTGAACTCCCGGTAGAAGCTCCCGCCAGCAGGCCTCTCTCTGCAGTGCCACTTGTAATTCTCGCTCTTTTGGCAATAATCGTCGTCTTTGAAGTCCGCGCTCACGTGCAGTACCCGATCGTCGTGGATTTGAAGCTTCACGTCTTGTTTGGCCAGGCCCGGAAGATCGAATTTGAAGATGTGGGCTTCAGAGGTCTCCTTCCAGTCCATGGGCCCAACGGCTTCTTGAGGCCCGGCCCGGAGCACGTGGCCGGACGTGAAGAATGGATCCGAAAGAAGGGATTGAAGTGCGAAGGTTGACATGTGTTTCGGAACTTTTGGGTTGTAAATTGTTTATTGAGGAATTCGGATTTAGGTTGTCTGTGTATTTAGAGATGGAGTAAGACTAGCGGATATCAGTGTTGCTGTCTGGTTTTAGGATGAATTAAGATGATGGGATGAGTTTATATATATAAGGGTGTGATGGTTTGGAATATGAAATTTTAAGTGGGTTCTTGAAAATTCCAGAAATGGTTTGCTTTATATTGTTGGTGATGGTTTTTGCAACGAAGAGGACGGAAGGTTGGAGAACTTTCTCAATTTGCCACTTTTTTGAAAAGGTAATTCCGGCTGTTCGAAAAAAGACAACAAAAACTATGAGAACTTGAAAGGAACTCATCATACTTGCTGTTTTTTTTCTTTTTATCATTATTAAACTTCGTTTAATATAAAAATAGACAATATTACATCTATTCATCCTAATACATTACTCATAGGCTGAATTTAATTGAAAGGACTATTTTATTCTGAATTTGAATTCAGAATTTAAGATCATTGGGTTTAGACATTATTTCGGTGTTTCTTAATCCTTTCAAAAGGCAGCAACATACCCTTTTTTATTTCTTTCTAGCCAAGAATCATCTGGACAATTCATTCCCATAAGTACAGAATCAATCAATAGAGAACCTTTTCTTCTATATAAATTGATCTTATTCCAATTCAATAGAGAACCTTTTCTTCTATATAAATTGATCTTATTCCAATTTCTTCTGGATACTTCCCAAGGAAACTATTGAATTGGATTGGGAGACTATTGAATTAGATCCCAAATTGACGGGTTAGTGTGAGCTTATCCATGTTTAGAACTAACTTAAAAATAAAAAATGCACAAAAACACTAAAAATTAAAGACAAACTCCTAATGTCCTCCCATCGGCCAAGAACACCCAATACCACCACCACCCGACCCAACACCTAACAGTGTGTCTCAGCTTAATGTCCTTTTATCCATCTAAAAAAAATAATATGATAAATAAAAAATAAAGAAATCATGCTAATATAAAAAGATAAAATTATATTTTTTTTAGAAACTATATCTTAGAAATTGACATTAAATGGAGACAATAGATAGTCAGGTAAATCAGAATTTTTATCTTTTAATACCTTCTCCAACCAGTAGTTAGGTAAATCAATATTTTTATTTAATAAATGCCTTCTCCATCTGAACTGCAAAATCCCAAAATTTGCAACAGAATTTATTGAAAGCGAGTGGCAACACAGCCTCTCCATTGTATTTCTATCCTATGCGTTGAAAATAAACACATCATGATAACATAATAATACATTATCGAAAATCACACAAAATAAAGTATAAACTATGTATTAGGAATACTATTTTACTATATTTGCAAAATGGCAAACGCTATGTGAAACGTGTTGCATTACGCGACATAAATTTAAAACACTGCACATTATACACTGAACTTGAAGGAAAATTAACATTTAATGGAATTCCAGTTCAACCAAAGGACGTTGCTTGCTCGCGGCATGAACCGAAAGAGATTGTGGTAAGGATTTAAAATAAGAAAGAAAAAGAAAAAAAAAAATGACAAAAAAACAAAAGAAATTGAATAAGAAGAGGGACGTCAGTAAATTANCTCCTTATTTAATTAAGTGCAGCGGGACGGAGCAAAACCCAACCTCCCCTTGACCAAATCAAACTCCCACAAATGATTCTGCTGCATTATATTCCCAATCACGCACGCCCCCGGCCAAGGCACCTGCACGAACCCCAAACACTTCACTCCCGGGGCCGCATCTATCACGTAGCTCTTCACCGGCGGCTCGATTCTCGCCCCATCCATAAAATGAATCACCACCCTCGGCACTATACTCTCCCTAAACCCACTCGAATTGAAACAGTACTCAACCGCCCCAATATCCAAATCCAGGCTCTCGAACCCCACCAAGGCCCGCTTCAGCACCCCCATCACCGGCCCGTACGCAGGTCTCGTCAGGCCCGTTAGGCTCGAGCCCGAATCAATAATCGCCCCTCCCGTGCCACCCAGGTCCCACGTCCCAGCCGGAATGTCCAGCATCGAGCCCCCGACCGAAATCCCCTTCACGTTCACCGCATAAAACGGGGTTATCAAACCCAGGACAAGCTCCGTGTAGCGCAATCTCCGGTTAAGGGATATGTTGTGGGCCTGTTCGTGCGGCCCGAAAACGAGATAGCTCGTGAGGTTCCTCGGGCTCAGGTGGTCGACGAGGCAGTAGGAGAATTTGCCTCCAAATTCGGTGGCGGCCCGAAGAGCGAACGAGTGATTGCTGTATCCCAGGCCCATTACGCCGTCTGCAGCCTGGATTGTGGGCCCGTTTGATGAATCGCTGCAGCCCACGAGCACGTTGTCGAGCCTCGTCCTGCGCCCGTTGGAGAGGGTCAACGTGACGCTGTCGTTGCCGAAAACGCCCTGAGCAGACGAGCCATCCGCGTACCTAATTGTTAATGTCAATAGTAAATAAATAGGGAGTTTGTAAGGAAATTAAAATACATGTATAGCTGGCACATGAAAAAAAAATACTAGAAAGGTTTAAATAATAGGGACTAAATTAATGTGTAATAGAAAAGTCATTTCTATGCGGATTGCAATATGGGCTTAAAGTGAAAAGTGGAACCAGGAACACCACCAAACAAGGCCTTGGACTGGTGAAGAGATGCAAGTCATGTGACCCAATCTACTTCGCAATAACTGCCATTACTGCTGTGAAGGATTTAGGTAAGAGGTGTAGTAATGGCTTTAACACCAAGCATGCAACCTTGCTCATACCAATTGTACTATCAAACATTTATAAAGGCTGCACATCTAATTGAAAGTTGAAGTCACTCCTTTTCGTNATTTTTTTTTTTTTTTTTCTTACATATTTATGACTCCAAATTGGAAAGACTGACTCTTTGAGATGGATCCTCCACATTCACAACAAATTGTTAAAATTTTTGTGTCAAATTAGAGAGAGAAAGACACATGAATAAACATAATATAAAGTAGGCCCCACAATTGTTTTATCTTTCTCCTTCCCTCTAGAAAATCAAAGGATTCCCAGTCCTCGATTTTGTTTGCCTCTCAACTTAGTCAAGAATGAATGACTTGACTGATTCCATAACGACAGAAAATGAAGAATTTAATGAATAAAGAAGGGAGAGGTCACATTTTTCATTACAATTTCATATGCTACAAATTTGTAGCTCAAGATCTATGACAAGACACAGCTTCAAGGGGGTATTAAAAACCGGAGTGTGCAATTACATGTCCCCGATTCCTACCCCAGCTTATCTTTTCTTTATACAAGAAACAAACAACAGGTGTAAGAAAGGGATGGATCAAAATTATGTTGGTTGGTTCCATTCAAAGAACAAACACACAGCTCGAATGCTAGACAGAATCTGAAAATGGCTGTGCTAAATACAGTCAAGAAATTAAAGCACCATTCACTACGTTCGAGTTAGATAGCAATATGACTATGATTGATTACGAAACCACAACCTTTGTAACTCGAGTATTTAAAATTCCGGTCATCGCTCATAATCCATGTTATAACACCATAAACATCCATCGTCTATCAACAAAGTCTTCCTGATTCGAGCATTATTACGGACAATAACTATATTAGTTCTTCAGTGATGAACTAAAACTCCTCTGTTACTGCACCACATGACATCCAATCAATGAAGGATTTGAATTTGTAAACTTGCACATTACTTAGTCCTTAACCAAAGCTCAACAAGCCAACTTTACTTGTGAACCAATAAAAAGACACGTGCAACCAAACCTAACTCACGCAGAAACTGGATAACAGAAACAAATGAAAACTGCAATTCACATTTTCTTTTTTTTTTTTCTGTTAATTTATTAACTTAGTTTTTTAGTTTTACCTGTAATCATAGGCACATGGGTCTCTGGGCAAAATGCACCGGTTGAGCGAGAAGAGGCTCGAGAGATCGTCCCTGCACGTTCTCGACGAGCAGGGCACGGTCCGAAAAGTGGAAGACAGGTCGGCCCGAAAAACCCGGCGTTTTAAGGAATCCCTCTTGCACCCTCCCCTGCGGCAACTGAACCTGCAGTTCGTCCAGGTCAGGTCACTCCCGGTGTCCGCAATCAGCAGCGCCCTATGGGCGGGCGACCCGACCCTGAACTCGACCAGGTACTGACCCGCCCCCTCGTCCGCCGCCGAGTGCATCTCCAGTTCGGCCGACGCATTGCGGTCGGCTTTCCCGGCGCTGCTGTTAGTGCACGCCGGAAAATACGCATCTCTCTCCAGATTTCCTCTCCTGTTGCTGCCGTATTTCCATTCTAGCTTCTCCGAGATGCCGCGGAGGCGGATTGTGTCGCCGTGGACCAATTGCCTCAGGCGCTCGAGTTGGGTGGCTGGATTTGGTCTCTGCACAGCGTGCGTGTGGATGAGCTTGAGCTTTATCCCGCCATGGCCGGATGAAATTACGGCGGAGCTGAGAAACGTGAAGAAAATTGCGAGAAGGAAATAATTAAAACTTTGCCAGTTAAATGCGACCATTTTTCACATCAGTGCTTGGCCTCTTGTGTGTGTGTGTGCTGCAGCTTGAACTCGACAATTATGCACCGAGGAAACACACACACACGCAAAAAATTATTAACAAATAAAAATTGGTGATGGTTTGAATATTAAGCAATAGAGATTGAGAAGTGGAAGCGAAAAATCTAAATAAATAAAGGTAAATGAACAAAGTTTATGAGTTTCTTTACAGAAGGTGGAGTTGATGGTTAGCGAGGAGTGTAAGGGAAAAAATGAAGGAAAGGTAATGGGTGTGTTTTGGGGAAGAAGGAAAGAGAGAGGGTTGTGTTGGGAAAAGAGGGGTCCATTTTCACGCCCAAAACGACACAGATATATACGAATTTAAAATCAATTTTAATTGGAAAAGTTATGGCAGACAATCATGGAACTTTGTTTGGAGGTGGAGTGTGATTTTTATTTTTATTTGCAACTTAAATTACGGTGCATTTGTTTTGTTAAAGTAAAATAGATTGTACGAGAAGATGGAATTTATATCCTTGTCACACGTCTAAATTACATATATATCATATCTCTGTTTTCTCTTTTATTTATTTATTTTTCTTTTTTTTGAATTTCATTGTCGTAATGCATATATATCATTTTATTTAATGCATTTATTATTAAAATTTATGGTGGAGGCTGTCATCAAGAATGGCTTTATCGATCCGCAATTCACACATAGGTCCTCTCCTGTCCTGTCCTGTATTTGCTTGTTGCTGCCAATCGCTCTGTAATTTCTGTTTTTCTTTTTTTGAATTTTTTTATAAATTTTATAGTCGTATCAATGATTCTCTGTCTCATTTTCTCTCTCTTTCACATGATTGTTGGTTGGGGATGTAACCCTTTTTCAGTTTTTGGTTTTAATAATCATTTAATCGTAACGTAGAGTCGTAGAGCCGCCGTATATGTATATGTGGATGCACTTAAAAGTTATAGCAAAATATTTTTTGGTGGGTGGTATTTTTACATTTACAAAATATGAGAAAGGTTTTAGATTAGTTTTACAGAAAACGAAAATGAAATTATAGGTACGTGAAAATTACAAAATGGTGTTTAGATTTGAACGAGTATTGCATTTTTATTACTTGCACATCTACAAGCTCTTCAAATTTCCATATTCTGTTGAAAATTTGCTGCAACCACCTACTTTAACCATGTATTATTTCCGTTATTATTATCCCAACATTTTTGCATCTAACAACTCCTATATTCATGAAAGTTTGATTGTAAGTTAGACCATAAATATCGAATTTTTTGAGCCACCACTTCGGCGTTGGCTTACCCAGAACCTCACCACACCACGGCTAGGGAGCTATGCAAATTGGAGTGGGCTGTTTTCGATTGTGGTCTGGTGTGCGTGGTATTGGAGAAACGACTGCATATTCAATGGTCGTACCTTAGAATGTGAAGTGCGGCGAGTCAAGGTTTTGTCTCGGCTCGAGTCTTACACTCAGGCTGCCTCGGCGTTTGCTAAGACTGGGGCGGATATGCCCCATTTTGAGTCACGACTAATCTCTTGGGCCCCACCGGAACCTGGGTGGGTCAAAGTTAATACTGACGGCGCGTTTGATAAGCCTTCTGGACTCAGTAGTGTGGGCGCGGGATCATTCGGGATGAGCTGGGGCGATGGGCGTCGGGTTTTCTTATGAACATAGGATATTGCTGTTGGGATCGATAGTACCGTACGGGCTTTAAGCAGCGGAATTTAAAATTTTTCAAAGTAAGTATTTATCAAATAAATACAACACCCGTACATACTAATTGCGAATTAACCGATCGTCATCTTTAAAACATGCATCACATACAAATTTTGATTTGTTATAATAAAGTAAATACTAATACGAAATATTTACCGAGTGTCTTGAACTCCTTCAACAAAGATGTGGATTGTGGGAATCGATTCCCGGTTGTAACTTCAACGGCTTGAGGTTACTCGCTTTAGGAATCCAAGTGTCTTCCCTCTAATCGTATCCACCCTATGAAGCCCGGTTCCGACGACCTTNC